AGGACCAGATGGTTTCAATGCAGAATTCTACCAGAACTTCCAAGAAGAGCTAATACCTATACTCCTTAATGTATTCCACAATATAGAAACAGAAGAGTCATTACCAAATTCCTTTTATAAGCTACAGTTACTCTGATACCAAAACCACACAAAGACTCAACCAGGAAAGAGAATTACAGGCCAATCTCACTCATGAACATCGATGCAAAAATCCTCAACAAAATACTGGCAAACTGAATCCAAGAACACATCCGAAAAGTTATCCATTATAATCAAGTAGGCTTCATTCCAGAGATGCAGGGCTGGTTCAACATACGAAAATCTATCAATGTAATCCATCATATAAATAAACTGAAAGAAAAAAAACATATGATCACTTCATTAGACGCTGAAAAAGCATTTGACAAAATTTAACATCCCTTTATGATAAAAGTATTGGAGAGATTAGGGATACAAGGGTCATACCTAAATATAATAAAAGCTATATACAGCAAGCCGACAGCTAACATCAAATTAAACGGAGAGAAACTCAAAGCCATCCCGCTAAACTCAGGAACACAACAAGGCTGTCCACTCTCACCATACCTCTTCAATATAGTGCTTGAAGTTCTAGCAATAGCAATAAGACAACATAATGGGATCAAGGGGATTTGAATTGGAAAGGAAGAAGTTAAACTTTCGTTATTTGCAGATGATATGATAGTGTACATAAGCGACCCCCAAAACTCCACCAAAGAACTTTTACAGCTGATAAACACCTTTAGTAATGTGGCAGGATACAAGATCAACTCCAAAAAATCAGTCGCCCTCTTATACACAAAGGATATGGAAGCAGAGAGGGAAATCAGAGAAGCTTCACCTTTCACGATAGCCACAAATAGCATAAAATATCTTGGGGTAAATCTAACCAAGGAAATGAAAGATCTATTTGACAAGAACTTTAAGGCATTGAAGAAAGAAACTGAAGAGGATACCAGAAAATGGAAGGACCTCCCTTGCTCTTGGATTGGGAGGATCAACATAGTAAAAATGGCAATTCTACCAAAGGCAATTTATAGATTCAATGCAATCCCCATCAAGATCCCATCAAAATTCTTCACAGATATGGAGAGGACAATAATCAACTTTATATGGAAAAACAAAAAACCCAGGATAGCCAAAACAATCCTATACAATAAAGGATCTTCTGGAGGCATTACCATCCCTGACTTCAAACTCTATTACAGAGCTACAGTAATGAAAACAGTGTGGTACTGGCATAAAAACAGAGAAGTCGACCAATGGAATCGTATAGAAGACCCGAATTTTAACCCACAAACCTATGATCAACTCATTTTCGATAAAGGAGCTAAAAGTATACAATGGAAGAAAGAAAGCATCTTCAACAAATGGTGCTGGCAAAACTTGATGTCAACCTGTAGAAGAATGAAAATCGACCCATATCTATCACCATGCACAAAACTTAAGTCCAAATGGATTAAAGACCTCAATATCAGCCCAAACACACTGAACCTGATAGAAGAGAAAGTGGGAAGTACCCTACAACAGATAGGCACAGGAGATCGCTTCCTAGGTATAACCCCAGAAGCACAGACATTAAGGGCAACACTGAATAAATGGGACCTACTAAAACTGAGAAGCTTCTGTAAAGCAAAGGACACTGTCACTAAGACAAAAAGGCAACCTACTGACTGGGAGAAGATCTTCACCAACCCCGCAACAGACAAAGGTCTGATCTCCAAAATTTATAGAGAACTCAAGAAACTAGACTTTAAAATGCTAATTAACCCAATTAAAAAATGGGGCCCTGAACTGAACAGAGAATTCTCAACAGAAGAAGTTCAAATGGCCAAAAGACACTTAAGGTCATGCTCAACCTCCTTAGCAATCAGGGAAATGCAAATCAAAACAACTTTGAGATATCATCTTACACCTGTCAGAATGGCTAAAGTCAAAAACACCAAGGATAGCCTTTTCTGGAGAGGCTGTGGAGGAAGGGGTACCCTCATCCATTGCTGGTGGGAATGCAATCTTGTGCAACCACTGTGAAAATCAGTGTTTCGATTTCTCAGGAAATTCGGGATCAACCTACCCCTGGACCCAGCAATACCACTCTTGGGAATATACCCAAGAGAGGCCCTGATATGACAAAAGCATTTGTTCAACTATGTTCATAGCAGTATTATTTGTAATAGCCAGAACCTGGAAACAACCTAGATGCCCTTCAATGGAAGAATGGATGAAGAAAGTATGGAATATCTACACATTAGAGTACTACGCTGCGGTAAAAAACAATGACTTCTCGAATTTTGCATGCAAATGGATGGAAATAGAAAACACTATCCTGAGTGAGGTATCCCAGACCCAAAACGATGAACATGGGATGTACTCACTCATAATTGGTTTCTAGCCATAAATAAGGGTCACAGAGACTACAATTGGTGAACCTAAAGAAGTTAAATAAGAAGGTGAACCCAAGGAAAAACATATAGTTATCCTCTTGGCTATGGGAAGTAGACAAAATTGCCGGGGAGAAAATTGGGATCTTCGGGGTGGGGTGGGATGGGGATAAGGGGAGATGGGGAGAGAAAAGTGAGAAGGGGAGGATGGGGGGAACTTGGGGAAACAGGAAGATAGGGATAAAGGAAGGTTGGATGGGAAGCACAGAAGCACAATTCTTAGTTAAGGGAGCCACCTTAGGGTTGGCAAGAGACTTGACCCTAGAGGGGCTCCCAGTAGCCTATGGTGATATCCCCAGTTAGTCCCTTGGGCAGCTGAGGATAGGGAACCTGAAATGACCCTATCCTATAGCAATACTGACGAATATCTTGCATATCACCATAAACCTTCATCTGGTGATGGATGGAGATAGAGACAGAGACCCACACTGGAGCACTGGACTGAGCTCCCAAGGTCCCAATGAGGAGCAGAAGGAGGGAGAAGATGAGCAAGGAAGTCAGGACCACGAGGGGTGCACCCACCCACTGAGGCAGTGGGGCTGATTTATTGGGAGCTCACCAAGGCCAGCTGGACTGTGACTGAAAAAGCATGGGATAAAACCGGACTCTCTGAACATGGCGAACAATGAGGGCTGATGAGAAGCCAAGGACAATGGCACGGGGTTTTGACCCTACTTCATGTTCTGGCTTTGTGGGAGCCTAGCCAGTTTGGATGTTCACCTTCCTAGACATGGACGGAGCGGGGAGGACCTTGGACTTTCCACAGGGCAGGGAACCCTGACTGCTCTTTGGACTGGAGAGGGAGGGGGAGAGGAGTGGGGGGGAGAGGGAGAAGGGTGGGAGGAGGGGGAGGGAAATGGGAGGCTGGGAGGAGGCAGATACTTTTTTTTCCTTTTCTCAATAAAAAAAAAGATGTAAGAGCTAGCTAGGAATATGCCTGAGCTGTTGGCTGAAAAGTTTTGTAATTAATATAGTTTTGTGTGATTATTCGTGTCTGGGAGTCCAGGAAACAAAAGTGCAGTCTCACTCCGTTTACAGTTTGGTGTTTTTCCTAACAAGTTTCAGTCTTATTTTGGCCCAATCTGTTCTTATTATGCCCATTCTTCCCTTTGGGGATGTTTACTGTATACCTTTGTATATTGGAATCATTTTTTAATCTTTTTTTTCCATTTTACAAGGACTTGAAATTAAACGGCTGCCTGAAGTCTGAGTGGCGACTACCCCCTTATAGAATTGACCCTTGCTTGGTAGAAGCCCTTTCCAACACTATGGTGATTAACCTCAAAGGCTGACTTGACAAGCCTTTAGGCCGGTAGTTCTCAACCTTCCAAACCCTGCAACCCTTTAATACAGTTCCTCATGCTGTGGTGGCCCCCAACCACAGGGTTGTTTCTGTTGCTACTTCCTAACTGTAATCTTGCTACTGTCTTGAGTCATATTGTAAATACCTGATATGCAACCCCTGTGGGGGTGTCAACACACAGGTTGAGAAGCACTGCCCCAGGCACACCTGCGGGATTATCTACGTTATGTTTGCCCCTGGGCATGCCCATGAGGGACTTTCCTTGTCAGGTTAATTGAAGGAAAGACCCTTCCCTTTCTGTGGACAGCACCTTCCAGTAGCAGCCCAGATAAGAGAAGACCCCTGGAAAAAACTCTTGATCTTTGCCTGCTTGCCTTAGCCTCTTGCCTACAAATGCACCTGCTCTGGCTGCTGCCTCTACAGCTCTTTACTGCCACCAGGACTCGGCTTCTTCACCCTGCCCTCTTGAACTAATGGCAAGCGCTCTTGAAGGATCCTTCAGCAGCGGATGAGGGCTACTGAGGCTTCCAACCTGTGGCTAAGCCCTAGCCTCTCAGTATAAAGTATAATCTGGCCTGCTTCTAAGGCCAGATTGTGGAAGTCAGTCTAGTAAATCCTCTTTTGATACGTGTTCATCCTCTCAGTTTGGTCTAACAGAACTGTGAAATGCTGAGCCAGTCACTGAGTGTGTGCGGGAGGTGTTTCCTGTGCAGGAGAGGCTGTTGATTCCCGCCCTGCTCCCTTATTGCAGCCTCTGGATTCCTCACACCACCCACATCTATTCCTGATCCAAAACGGCCCCGATGGCGGTCAAAGTCCCTCTGCTCCGTCAGCTCTTTCTCTAACCTCCTCCACCTGAAGGTGAGTTTAACCATAACATAACTAAGCGTGTCTTCCCTTTTATAACCCTTCAGTAGTTCCCTAGCCGTCTGATTAAACCCAAACCTCGCAGCCTGGTTTGAGGCCTTCCGCTTCACTCCCGGTCTCCACCCTTCGGCACTTTCTTCCTCAACATGGGAACCCTGAGTGTTGCCTTCTTCAGCTGCACAACTGTGGATGCTTTCCCTACAAACACAGTTACTCTTCCCCCGGGGCCCCTCCCACTTCCTGCCCCACAACAGAAAGATCTCATTTTCAGTGCCTGTAGCACAAGCCCTCGGTATCTACGTACTTCAATTGTGCTTCATTAAAACCACAAACTTCCCAGCTGCTGGGACTGCTTCGGAAAGTGGGCGAAACTTCAGGTGGGGCCTCGCTGGAAGAAATGGAAGGAAGGGGACCTTGAAGGTATGAATGGCCCCCAGTCCCTTTCTTTCCTCTTCCTGCCCTCCCTCTCTTTCTTGCTCTCAAATTCTCTCTCCTTCCTGCCCACCATGGGGTGAGGAGCCTACCCCACTACACTTACAGTGCCATGATGTGCACAGGGCTAAGCAACCATGTATGCTCGGAAGCTGCCAGCCCTTTAGGTTGCTCTTGAAGATATTTTGGTCATGACTACGCAAAAGTAATATGACAGCCTTATAGAGACTAAATGATCATAATACATTTACAAGTAAATGTGCAATAAACTAAAGTCAGGGCTGAGGGAGCTGGAGAGATGGATCAGCAATTAGGAACACTGGTTACTCCTGCAGAGGACCTGGCTCATAGCCATCTCTAATTCCGGTTCCAAAGGACCTGACGCCCTCTTGTGGCTTCCACAGGTACTTCATGAATGGATGCACAGATACATAATGCAGACAAAGCACTCATACACATAAAAAAGAAATAAATGATCAAAAAACGTCAGGTCAAGGGTCACTGAGATTGCTCAGAGGGTAAAATGGCTTCACATATAAATTTTGTATTGTTTTTATTAAGCTATATATTTTTCTCTGCTCCCCTCTTCCCTGTCTTACCACCTGAGCTCAATCCCTGGGTCCCTCGGTGGGATGAGAGAACTAATTTCCATATGCATGCCATGACACAGACAGACAGACACACATACACACTAATAATGATAACAACAATAATTGTAATATTTTTCAGTCAGGGTGATATGTAGTCAGTGCTTGCCACACTAGCTGTTACAACACTAAAAACACTTCCTTCTACTGTCCCTTGTCACTTCAATTCCTCCTACTACCACTGAATCTTCTCCGACAATGCCTGGATTCCCAGTTTCCCAACTGTGGTCATGTCTTGTACTGAAGGCCACATCAGGACCATGATCTAGCCAGATCCCCTGGTGAAATTACCCATTCCAACTGATCCAGACCTATGTGCGGTCATTGTTAGATATTTACATTACAATTATACAATTATATAACAATTATGTTCATGCATTTTCTGTTGTTGTCACAAAATACCTGAGGCTGAGTCATGTGTGATAACCTTTATTTGATTGAAAATTTTAATGGCTGGAGGATCCAGCCAACATGACACTGGCATCATATTGTGGACCATATGGGATCATAGCATGGTAGAGAAACAGAGAAAGAACCATTAGTGCACAGAAGAGAGAGATCCCATGGACCAATGACCTCCCACGGGGCCTTGTCTCTTAAAGGTTCTACTACCTAAGTATTGACACACTAAGAACCATGCCTCCTGCATGTGAGCTTTCAGGAGACGAGCCACATCCAAGCCACAGCAATATTAACTTCTGCTTATAAATAAGGTTTAACTGTGTTTTTTAAATTATGATTCTCATTGAAGGTGCAGCAAACATGGGTACAGGAAAGGAAAATAAGAGTCCACCACGGCCGGTGAGTATATCCATCAGGATCCAATCTTCGTGTAAACCAAGAGATAAGCAGTTTCCCGCCTAGAAAGCAAAGAACACATCAGCACAGAAAAATGAAGCATCCGCAGCGAATCCAGGACACAACATGCATCAGTAAACTTCCCAGCTCTTAGGTCAAGCATCCATCTAACCCATGACCCGAGTGAGTGGTTATTAGTTGGCATCTAAATCATATGGTGAAAAATTGTGGGACCACAAACTAAATCTAACTCTGTTTCTGCAGATACGCTCAGCCACACAGCCGATTTCAATCGGTTGTCCATGTATTGTCCACAGCCTCTTCAGCGCCACAAGGGCGGCGCCACGCAGCTGCACCAGGAGCTGTGCTCCACAGCTGAGAACTTCCTCCCTCGCTCTCTACAGACAGCCTACCAGTCCCTGGCCTAAATCAGAGGGCATCGGGAACAATCGGAAACAAAGATCTGGCATCCTGTAGAGCTTCTTAAAAGAAACGAAAGCTGGCAAGTGGGCTGAAGGAGGATTTCTTTTTTTTTTTTTATTTATTAAAGATTTCTGTCTCTTCCCTGCCACCGCCTCCATTTCCCTTCCCCTCCCCCAATCAAGTCCCCCTCCCTCCAAAGCCCAAAGAGCAATCAGGGTTCCCTGCCCTGTGGGAAGTCCAAGGACCCCCCACCTCCATCCAGGTCTAGTAAGGTGAGCATCCAAACTGCCTAGGCTCCCACAAAGCCAGTACGTGCACTAGGATCAAAAACCCATTGCCATTGTTCTTGAGTTCTCAGTAGTCCTCATTGTCCGCTATATTCAGCGAGTCCGGTTTTATCCCAGGCTTTTTCAGACCCAGGCCAGCTGGTCTTGGTGGGTTCCCAATAGAACATCCCCATTGTCTGAAGGAGGATTTCAACACAATTGTATCACTTCTTTATTTCTCAAGTGGTCCCGCCTGCCTCTGAGCTGAAAGTCTTCTCGGATCACCTTTTGTGTATGCCATTGTCTCCAGACCAGGAAAAAAAAGCTGGCAAAGCTTTACAAAGACCCTTGGCTCTGTCTTCCCCCTACTTTATTTTTCTCTGCAGCGGCCCCGAGTCATGATTGGTTTTAAGAGCTATTTGTTGATTCTTAGTAAATGCAAGCGACTGGCGGACATGAAGAGATGGAAAGAGTGACCTTTTCCCCTCAAAGAGTACACGTGACATGTGAACGAAAGTTATATAAGCAAGCAATTAAGAGATGGTCTTTGTCATAGGGACGCGTGCTTAAGATACAATGATAGCATGTGAGGGGAAGCCCACGGATCTGCCTGGGTCAATCCGTTAAGGCCATGGGAAAAGGCCATGAGTAACGAAACACAGGGGGACTTTGCAGTTAGGTAGGAAATGGCAGACGCGGCATTTGAACTCCATTACAAACCCACTGGCGTTACTGAAATCTTACTATCAAGAAAAGCATGGTGTAGTGGGCTGGGCAGTCACAGATGAAGCTGACTAGTTAGTCTCAGGGGAGTTATCAGAATGTAAGTAGCAGCTGAAGTCATGAGAGTTTTCCCACGGCCAGGAATTCAGAGTGAGTTCACCAAGCCGGCCCTGCTCTTACCAGCGGTATCTGTGATTGCCGTAGGTACACTGGACGTCCTCCCAGGTCACCTGGGAATGCATAAGGAAGAAGTCAGCACCCGACTCAGTATTCGGTGTTCCTAGCATACATGGTACTGTGATTTGCCCTCCTTGACAACTCCATTACTCTCTTTAAACGTGGTTATGCCTATCCAAGAGTTACAACTCTGGCCTTAGAGGAGTTCCCACGGTCTGAAGCACAGGACACTGAGCCTAGAGGACCAGAACTTGGGCCCTGCGCTGAGTGTGTGTTTACACTTATAAACCAGGAGCAGCTTTAAAGGAAAAAAAAAAAAGAAACTTTGAACTCATAAACAGCGCCTCCATTCAGAACACAGGCTCCATGGTGAGGATCTAGATAGCCCCAGGCTCCGGATCTATTAGAAGTAGCTAATCTGGGGCAAGCAGCAATTTGGATGATGCTCCTCACCCTACAAACATGGGAGTCGTTGAAGCAGAACCATTTTCCATCCACAGGATTCCGGATGTAGGCACAGTAATGACCGAAGTCAGCCAGCCCCACATGGGCGATCACAGCAAAAAGTTCATAGCGTACTTCTTCAGACTGCGGGAGACAAAGGCAGAAACGGTTCAGCCGCCACCCTCCATCCTACCTTCGCAGACTTCCTCTCTGGAACCGTAAGCCCAAAGTAAACCCTTTCTTCCGTAAGTATCCCTCCCTGGTCATGGCGCTTTAGGAACCAGTTCAACAGATATCAGGAAAGCAGCGCCGCTATCACAGATCAAGTACAAGATTGCCAGAAGTATCCCTCAGAACTAACACTAACTCATGCCATTCCCTCAAAACCTTAGGAAAGCGAAGTAGGAGCTAATTCTCTGTGGGAAAGGGAGAGTGGTGGAGAGAGACTGGCTGCCTGTGAGCCAGGTCACCACGCTAGTCAGAACGCGTTCCGCATGTTCCAAGTGTGCGCTGTGCTCAGTAGGCACGGAGCCTGGAGCCCAGGTCCCTGAGCTCCGCAGCCAGAGTCCCTCACTGCTCCGTGCCATCTGAGCCACCACAGCTCACCTCCAGGAACTGAGAAGAGTGAGCCCAGAGCCCACCTCTCTCCACAAGTCACTAGTACCTCACACACTTGGAGCACAGCCATTGGAGGCACCAGACAACCAAGCGAAAGCACCACAGTGAGGCAGATGAGGGCCCTCCATGCTAATGGGATGAGAGAGAGCAGGCATGACACCCACTGCGTAAAGACGGGCCTTTTACTCCAAACCCGTGGTTCTGGGCGTGAATCGGCTAACAGACCAACAAACCAGAACAAACATTCCAACACTGGAACCACATATGTCAGATCTAAAACTTGCAAATGCAGCATTTCCTACTTCAAACCTCCAAGGAAAAGACAGTCTTTTTTTTTTTTCTCTCTCAGAATCTCGGAAGAAGTTATTAACTTGAGACAACGGAATTAAATTTCCCCCTACAACTGGCTACTTTAATATTATCCTCAAAGCGGGCTCTGGCTTTTCAATTCAAGTTTAGTTGGTTCTAAGAACCTGAAACTTTGTGTTTACTTATGTGTCTGAGAGTATTCCCCACGCCATTTCAAACAGGAAGTACCGAATTACAGGTCCCTCTCCTCACTGCTCTGAGGCATTTCCAGAACACCCAGTGTTTAGAAATCTTTACAAGTCAAGACAAGGGCTGGCGGTGACAACGGGGTGATGACCCACCACTGCTTCTCAGCACGACAAAGGCTTGATCTCAGAAGGACACAGAGCCTGCTGGACAGTTACCTCAGGACACAGAGCGTGCTGGATGGCTACCTCAGAAGGACACAGAGCCTGCTGGACAGCTACCTCAGAAGGACACCAAGCAAATCTGCTGAGATGAATGAAGGACTGAAGGCAAGCCTCACCTGTTCCTTGGTATCACCAAGTTCTTTCTCAGTTGACAGAACCTGACTGAAATCCAGGTGCTGAGGGAAATACACTGAGTGGCAGATCTTTTCTGTCCTTGAGTTCCTGGTCGAGAATCTCATAAGGTGGATGGTCAAGGTCTGGGGTAGATGAGTCAGCTTCAAAACCTGACAAAGCAAAATCAGCGTGACAATGGGGTCCTTGGGCCCCGTAGATGGGCACATTCAGAGCTGTGTCAAGGCCGGCAAGGTGCTCTTTCCCACGAGGGGCGTGCAGGGCACCTCCAAGACTCACATGACTGTCACTCACCACACATCGCCACAGAAGGCCTCTGCTCAGGCACAGGAGCTGTGGCGTCTACTCTATAGAGCTCTAGCCAAATCCTACGGGAAAACCCTACCCACTGCTCTTGTCCCTAAAAGGTTCTTCCTGTCCCTCTCAGTGTTATGATCTAAGAAGCCAAGTCTGAAATTATGCAGATAAGAAGCCCTGGGATCCCAAGTACTGGCTGAACCCAGGTTCCTTATGTCGGCCATTATGAGATGCCCTTAAGGGGCCTGCAAAGACCTACCAGGAAACCCCACGGGCAACCCCAGACTGAAGAGGTTGGGTGGACTTAAAGAGTACCTGCTTCTGAGTTGTCTTCTTCCCGCAGCTCTGACAGAAGCACTTCTCTGGGCCTGCTAACTCTCTGGGCTGGGAGAAACAGCGCAGGGCATCCTCCTGCCCCACCCAGGAGAACAAGAATAAGCAAAGGGCAACATCCATGTTCCTCGTCTCAAAAACAGCCCTCTGCCCCTGCCAGCGGAAGCCCAAGCTTCGCTACCCTTTAATCCCCATCCCCCTAAGTGGGCACGTGTGATACATGGGGCAGGATTTCAGAAAGCACCCACTGGTGAGAGGAACAAAACTGGAGGGGACTTGCCAGGGGGAGAACAGGAAGAACGCAGGAGGAGGGAAAGAAGCATCCTCCCCCAAGTCAAAGGAGAGATTTGCCCAGGGTACACACAGGAAACACAAGTCACTTTTTAAAAATTGTATTGTTTTTGTTTTCTTTTTATTTATCATGGTAGGGGAGCATGTACTTTGCCAAGGCACATATGTGGAGTACAAAAACAAGTTTTCTAGTCCTCTTCTTCCAGTGTAGAATGCAGGGCTCAAAGTCAGGTCATAACTTATTGGCAACAAGCACCTTTACATGCTAAGCCATCTTGCTAGTCCACAAATTACTTTTTAAAATGCAAGGGTAGGGGGGCTGGAGAGATGGCTCAGAAATTAAGAGCACTGGCTGCTCTTCCAGAGGTCCTGAGTTCAATTCCCAGCAACCACATCGTGGCTCACAACCATCTATAATGAGATCTGGAGCCCTCTTCTGGCATACAGGCATACATGCAGGCAAAACACTGTATACATAATAAATAAATAAATCTTTTTTAAAAATCCAAGGATAGTGATTGAAGCAAGGGGAAACTGGCTACCTCGGGATGCACAAAGTCTCTGATGAGAAGTTTCTCACCAGTGTTTTCAGAGGCTTTGAGTCCACGTCAAACAGAGGAAGAGAGAGAGTGAGCAGCCTGCTGCTTCTGCTGTTCTCTGTGTCACAGCCCAAACAAATCAGGGTCTCTTTCGTCCAGATTGCGAACAGAGTCTGCAGGCTCTCGGCCTGCAAGTAGAGAGAGCAAGGAGGTCAGATGACCTAGGTCACGCTAGGTCAGGACAAGTGAATTTTAGACAGAAGCTCTAGAAATGACTGACACAAAATTTTGCTTCCCTGCACATAAATATTAACTGTAGTAGGTCTATTTACAGACTGTTTGTTTTTATATGTGAAGCCTTAGTCCTTAAACTGTTTATGTTAGTAAGAATTATAGGTTAATAGTCAGCCATGCTTGTCATACTTATAGTCATGTTAGTTAGGTTTTCTAGATATACAGAAATATATGGCAGATGGATAGGTAATCTTCAAACACTTCATAGGCCTAGATAAATGTTTTAATAACTTAGAATTTTGTTGACATGAGACACAAATGCTCCTGGCAGCACCAATCTACTCCCAAGAGGATGTTGGGCATCCAAGACACTCCATATGGAATTTGTCTGCTTCTTGGCAAAAATGGCCTGTTGGGCATAGAACTGCCCTTGCCTCTGCTACTGACAGTAAGCATGCTGTCCATTCCAGATGAGCAGGACACAAGGAAAAACGACTGCTGAACCTTTCCAAGACAGGGTAGGACAGCATTTCAAAATTCCCTGCTTCTGAAAATGGTCTGTCAGATATTCTAAGCCTGTAGCCAAAAGTGGATGCTTTAACTTTGCAGACAAACACTGAGTGATTGTCCAGGCAGCCAGCTATCTCTATCATTTCTTGTATTTTTCAAAAGTTGCTTGCTTGCACTTCCTGCTTACTCAGGTAATATTTTCCTTCTCAGGTCTTCAATGGGATTGAAGACTAAATGGTTACAGTTACATTCCTCTTGTATCTTAACTAAGAGTATATCAGGCACTAGATTTTGATTCTTCAGGACAGGACAGTTATTGAAGTAATCTCTGTAATTTGCCATTTACCTATGGTCTGGACATTTAGTATGTGTTTCTTACTTGACATTCTTATTGCTCGTAGTTCCATTTTTGTGTATGCTATTACTCTTTCTTTCTCCTAAACTGTACTTGATAATCATTTTTATTATATATGATTTTGTATTATGTTTAGAACCTTCTTATTTAGACAAAAAGTGGAAGTGTGGTGGGTATTTACTCTGCCCATGACCTTGGGCTATCTGGGCCAAAAGAGGCAGAGTTTCTCATCACCTCTTTAAAGGAAAGAGGGAGAGGCTCACTCTCTCTTAGGTGGTGAAGACCAAGTCAAGTAGTGTGAAGCAACGTGTGATTAGTTCCCAGTTTTCTGAGGGCTCTGCAACTAGATTTACCATATCCCATATGTGTGAGTATATTTTTCCCCTTTCATGTCTTAATAAATCCTTGATGCTCCTTAAACAGACACACGTGGATGTCCCATAACAGATAACCACACCAGGGAGCTGCGCCAAGCAAGACTCATTCCTCGCTCATGGTGCACACAGTAGTAGAGTGGGTCTCACAGCCACATCTCACATCTCTGACCCCTCAGATCCCAGCCCTTACCAAGTCCACGTCAGTGATCTGGTCCTTAGTCAGGTTCCAGAGTGTAAGGTAGAGATGAGCAGCGTCATGCTGGACACACACTGGTCAGAGGGAAACACAATTAGAAAGGAGACGTCTCATGCCCTTGTAGAGCCACCAGGACCCCAGCCACATGGACACACAAACACTCCCTCCTTTATCCTTTCCTGGCCTTCCCTCACTTTCTAAAAGAGGAAATGAAAAGCAATCTTGGAGTTTGTTTTTTAAGAGTTTCTCTTAGAACTGAAGTCACAGTCCCATCACTTTCTCTCATCAGCCACCTCTACAGGCTTCTGTCTGCTCTCCCCGTCCCACCCCTGCAGATCTATTTCTCCCACTTTTCTGCTGAGCAGCTCCTATGACTGGACTCCTCCGCCCCCTGGTGGTCATTTTATTCACTTCCCCAAAAGCAGAGCCCAGTCGGACCAGAGGAGCCAAAGGAAAGGAGGATAGAGAAAAGATCAACTTCACGTTAGATGATCCTGGCTAAGATGAGCAGGAATGTTGCAAGGAGCTGTCTGTCTGTCTGTTATAAGTAGGTCTGAAATCGTGAACAGACAAAACTGACTTTAGTGGTGTTGGTCCAAAGGAATGGGAAGTCAGAAAAGACGAGAAACAACTGCGGACTATTTCACAAAAGGGCAGATCTGTGACACAACGCAGACATTTCAGGCTGCGGCACTTTGTGTGGACGTGCTACGTCTCCCATCACAGCACTGTCGTGATAATCATAATACATATCACAGCAGACACTTGACGTCCTATGGTATGTTCTCTGACTTTTGGCCGGTCCTGCTTCTAAACTGTAAGGTCCCTGGAGGTAAAAATCGCTGTCATTCCTGTTGCCTTGTGCACATCAAATGTACCATGATGAATGTGAACAATATATGTTAATTGAATATGTTAATTAATCTATATAATGAACCCCAACTCAACATTGATTTCCCTGGGGAACTGGGTGCAGAAGGTGTCCTGTCACAGACCTAACAGATGTAAAAAAAAATTGGATTAAGGTATTGTGATGGTCAATTTTGTTTTGCTTTGTTTAGATTTCTTTATTTGATTTTATATGTATATGTGTTTTTCATGCATGTATATGTGTGTAACATGTGTATGCCTGGTACCCTTGAAAGTCATAAGAGGGTATCTGACCCCCTGGAACTGGAATTACAAATAGCCAGGCAGTGGCGGTGCATGCCTTTAATCCCAGCACTTGGGAGGCAGAGGCAGGCAGATCTCTGTGAGTTCAAGGCTAGCCTGTTCTACAGAGCGAGTTCCAGGGCAAGCTCCATAGCACAGTTTTTGAAACCCTCAAAAAAAAAAACATTTGAACTACCACATGGGTGATGGGCACTGAACCTGGGTCCTCTGCAAGAGCAGCAAGCGCTCTTGACTGCAGAGCCATCCCTCCAGCTCCTGTGATGGTCAGCTTTAACCATCAACTTGACACCATCAGAAAACACTTGTGAAGAGAGTCTCGGTCAGGGACTGTCTAGGTTACATTGGCCTGTGACTCATCTGCAGGGTTCATTGGTATGGGAAGACCCAGCTCACTGTAGGCTGCACTAGTCCCTGGGTCTGGACTCAGAATCGTAAAAGAGCAGAGAGAGTGAGCTAAGTATCAGAAGCACGTGTGCACTCATTCCGTCTGAACTTGGCTGTGGGTGTGACATGCCCAACTGTTTCGAGTTTCTGCCTGCCACCCCAACTCCCCAGCTATGACAGACTGTACCCTGGATTTGTGAGCTAAAATAAAGACTTTCTGCCCTAAGTTGCTTTTCATCGAGGTATTTTATTACAAGAGAAACGAAACTAGGGCGGTTGCCATCTCGAGTCATTTGTTTAAAACCTCATCTGGCCATCCCAGAGCCAGAGGCAGTGGTGGGGAAGAGACAGAAATCTTTAATAAATAAATAAATAATTGGTTTAAAAAAAAAGAGTGCTTGTCTGTGCCACTATGTACGTCACACTTGGGAGACACTGCATGCACCAAAGAAAACAGATGTCCCCGAGAAACCATATCCTAATGGAGGGCAGGTTCCAGCTGATCAAAATGCACACAAGAATAAAAGGCCCCCAGGGGACACAAAACACTATGGAAAGCTGAAGAAAGGTGAGAATATAAAAGAGATGGTGAAAAGGAGAGCTTCTAGGAGTCTATTTCTTCATAAAAGCAATTAAAATGCTCACAACCTAAAACCAGAGGGCTGGCGAGATGGCTCAGAGAGCAGAAGCACTTCTGAGCAAGTCCAAGGACCTGAATTTGCACACTGGAGCCCACTGTGCACAGAGAGCATTCCCAAAAGCTGCCCTCTGCCCTCCACGAGGTCCATGTCAAACATGGTGTGGAACTCGTGTGCCTGCACTGGTATATGAAAAACAATAAATAGGTAGTCCTTAAAAAATAAAATCATGTATGCCAAACCCACGTTTAATATTTCCTTCCTGTGTGAAGGGTGTGAAGGAAATCTGAGATTTTTCCCCTAAGATTCACAGCAAATTAAGAATATCCTTTTTTAAGGTAGATACAAGAGACCCATCAGATACTCAAATATAAACTGAGACATTGGCTGTTCTTCCAAAGGTCCTGGGTTCAATTCCCAGAACCCACATGGCATATAATATATGTCTGTAGCTCTAGTCCTAGGGGAACCCAACAACTACTTCTGGCCTCCAAGGATATCAGGCCCATATATAGACATATATACAAGCAAAATAATCATAAAAAACCTTTTTAGTATGTTGAAATCTGGATTTTAAGAATCATGAAAAACTACACTCCCTAGTGTCTTCAAAGGTACACAATAACTTGCTAGCGATGGGCCCTAAAGGACAGAAAACTAATAATTTGTGTGACAAAGAATTCAAACAAATGATTGCAAGGAAATTTAATGAGACACAAGAGAATAAAAACATCAATTAAGTTAAAAAAGGAAAACCGTTATATGAGTGAGAAATTCAGCATACATATAGAGATAATAAAGAAAAATCATGGCACTAATGATACCATTAAGTTTTAAAACAAAACAAAACAATAGATAGCTTCAACAGTGTTGAGCAGGCAGAAGAAAATTCTAAGTAAGAAAATAGGTCTTTGAAATAACCAAATCAGAAAAATGAAAACTAAGGAAATTAAGAAAAACTAAAAACAAAGTCTAGGGGACATATAGCACACAATTAAGCAAGAAAGCATTCACAATGCAAACATTCACAGTGTCAACGCTGAAAGAGGGGACTGGAGAGGAGAGGCACAGAAAACCTACTGAATTCATCAATGACAACTTTCCAAATCACTTGGAACAAATATAAACATCCAAGTCCAGGAAGCTCAAAGAGCCTCCTAAAGATTTAGTTAGAAAAGACTCTCCTTAAGGCAAAGAAAGTGGGATGAGACACACAGAGTCCTGCTGCAGCAACAACACAAAGCCAACCAAGTATATTAAACCCAGCAAAGCTATCTTTCAGAAATGAAGAAAAATAAAGGTTTTCCAAGAAAAAGGAATTCTTCACCAGGTTGGCCCCATGAAAACCTACATAGTAGAAGAGAAAGATGGCACCTGACATCATAAAAGTACATGACAGGTAGGACAGTACCTTCTGTGCACAAGAGAGAAAGAGAAGAAAAATGCCTATTCACAAGGGTGAACGAGAAAAAAGGAAGGAAACTGTGTGTGGTGGCACACACCTATAATCCTAGCAAGCAGGAGGCAGAGCTGGAGGACCAGGAGTTCAAGGTCAACTTAGCTACGTAAGGTGTTTGAAGTGAGGGTATGAAAAACAGGAGGAGGAAGAGGAGGGGGACAAGGACTAGGACGAGGAAGAGGGAAGAGAAGATGAGGAGGAAGAAAGGGACGAAAGAAGGAAAAAAGAATAAGAATTATCCAGAACAAATACAGAAATTTCACATCATTACAAAAGCATGCCTCATTTCCCAGTGGTAACAGTTAATGTTCACCGGTCCAGTTCCCCATTGATGTATCTAACAAATGATGATATAACATCAATGGTGTGATAGCTACAAGAAAATCTCTTTACCGGTAAAGGCACACAGAATGAAAGCGAAGGCTGAAACTGATGTAACAAGGAAAGAGAAACCAAAGGCAGCAGCTACATTCGTGCCAGTAAAGTGAACCAAAATCCAAACACTGCAAAAGGGGACAGAGAAGGTCCGTATGGAACGAGAACACAGTTGACTCAACAAAAAGATGTAACAATTGTAAACATATGCACTCCCAAAACTGAAGCACCCAATTACAGAAGGCAAATGCTCCGAGGTCTAAGCACAGAGATAGATCCCAGAACTACCTGGGTGCTTCACTACCCCCACCTTCAACAGTGGACAAATCATTTGGGCCAAAAAAATCAATGATGATGGTGAGACTGATGATTCATCACAAAAAAACACTTGATGTCCAAGACCTGCAACCTGCGTGTGACACCCAGAACCCACAGTGGGAAGAATCAACTTCCAAAAGTTCTCCTCTGGCCTCTACACACATCTGTGGTACCCTCACTCACACACACATAGCATACATAAACATCCTAATACTAAAAATTTAAATCTTTTTACAACCAACAAACAATGAGTTGAACAATATGATACACCAAATGGATTCAACATTTACAAAACATTCCAAATGAAAAGAGAGGAATAAGCTCTGGCATTCAACTGTTGGTAGTTCGTTCCATTTATTATATATTTTATAAAGGATTAGAAGAGAAGAATCCAAGGTCGACCCTTCTGAGTCAGGCCCTCAGAAGAAGAGACATTGTAGCATTGTCTGTGGCTGTGATAAAATTCGGAGAAAAGGCTTTCTCTGGTTTTCACTTCTAGGTCACAGTCCATCACAGAAGCTGAGGCAGAAACTCAAGCGAGAACTTGAAAGAGAAACCATGAAGGGATGCTGCCTGCTGGCTTCTCTCTGACTCATGCTCAGCTGACTTTCTCATACAGCCTGGGACCACCTGTCCAGTAAGTGATGTGGGCCCCAGTGAGCTGAGCCCTGCTGCATCCATTAACAATCAAGGCAATCACCCGTAGACACACCCACACCCCAGTCTAATCTGGACAGTCCCTCAACTGAGGCTCCCTGGTCAGGTGACTTGAGAGTTAAAAGTTAACCAGGAAAAGGACAACAGGGAGGTTGACAGTGTGTTTTGGCAAAGGCACACTTGGCTATAGGCAACACAAAGAAATGAGTGTTTAAAGAGAAAGATATGCTAATACCCTGATGTGGTCAATACACAATGCATAAATGTATCAAATCGCACTATATCCTGAAAATAGGCAGGTGTCATGCTAGCTTTCTTTAAAGCCACTTCAAAGCAGTAAGCGGATAATAGTCACAAAACATTCACACGTGAAACTTTTCCTTTCAAAAATAAAGAGATGTGGGCTGGAGAGATAGCTCAGCGATTAAGAGCATTGCCTGCTCTTCCAAAGGTCCTGAGTTCAGTTCCCAGCAACCACATGGTGGCTCACAACCATCTGTAATGAGATCCGGTGCCCTCTTCTGGCCTGCAGACATACAGACAGAATACAATATACATAATAAATAAATAAATATTTAAAAAAATAAAAATAAAGAGATGTAAGCCGGGCGGTGGTGGCACACGCCTTTAATCCCAGCACTCGGGAGGCAGAGGCAGGCAGAGCTCTGTGAGTTCGAGGCCAGCCTGGTCTATAAGAGCTAGTTCCAGGACAGGAACCAAAAAGCTACGGAGAAACCCTGTCTCGAAAAATCCAAAATAAATAAATAAATAAATAAATAAATAGATGTGTGTTTCAGATCAACACCAACACCTCTAATAAAAGGGGTCTGGAGTCTCCCTGTCCTTTCACTGACCAGCAGCCCTCGCCCTCACTCTTTCCCTCGGGCCCCCTCCCCAGCCGACACAGTGTATCAGTGGACAGGAGCCGGAGCTGCTAGGGCTCTTACAGGATACGTTGTACTTCTGGAGGCAGTAAGCCAGCTCCAGGGGAAGCACTGCTTTCTGTCGGCTGTCCTGCATCTTCTCCAGCAACAAAAGCAACTGGAAGGGGACACTTCTCTTCTGCTCTTCTGTTCCCCGCGGCACTGTTATCCTGTCAAGTAAGAACAGCCAGGCGGCTCATACCCACACTTCTCCAGACCAGGAGCACACTGAAATCACTTAAAGAACCGCAAAGACTCTCCATGTCCTTGCTATTCTCTGAATTAAGGCAGAATTATGGGACTGGGTAGATTCATGCATGTACTCAAGTGATTTAGTATTAGGAGGGAGATCAATACAGTCCCACCCGACCATGTTCCACCATAACATTAAGGAAGGAAGTTGCACCACACTCTGGGCCCACACTAGAGTGAGCAGGCAAATGTCCAACCTGAGGTACTTCAAACTGCAAAGGCAAATACTGAGTTAGGTCCTGGGCAGAAAGGACAATGTGGCAGGTGACAGGGTTTTGACAATGGTTCATTTAGCTACAGGCAATTCTCACTTGCTTTGTGGATAAGCAAAAAAAAAAACAAAAAACAAAAAAAAAAAAACAAAACCACAGGGCCAAATAAATCACTGACTAAATGTGTGCATCCATTCACCCATTTTCTCTGATGCTGGTCCACTCCCTCCCAGCTCCAGATCAGTGGCCGTCATCCTTGGTTGTACTTCAAACGTGTCTGAGAAGTCTTTTAAAAAGCACTAGTGAGAGGGGGAGAGATGGCTCGGCAGTTAAGAGCACTGACTACTTTCCCAGAGGATCCTGGTTCGATTCCCAGCATCTACATGGTGGCTCAAAACTCCAGTTCTGTGGGCTCCAACTCCCTCCTCTGACCTCCATAGGCAAAACAATATAATAATAATAGTATTTAAAAGCACTAATGACGCACACCACCTGAAACCACATGGAGGCGGGGGCGAGCGTTGTCTCTTTTTAAACTTTGTAAATGATGCTAACCTACTGGACAAAATATGCAAGAAAAGGTCTTTTCTCGGGCAGCTCTGGAAAGGAGACTTGGGGAAGTCAAAGTCATTGTGAACAAATGGAGATTCTAAAACACCAACAATATGCACGTTATCAGGCAGAACCAGAGCTGTACCTCTTCAGTATCTTCCTGAAGTCCACATTCATCATCAGCACCTGCACCAAGGAGTTCAGGCAACAGGTCTGTCCGATGTTGTGTAAACCAACCAGGCCTTTAAGACGAAGATGGGGAGAAAAAAGGCTGAAGGCAAGACATAACACACACCAGAACTCAAACGCTTTTCCTGGGTCTACAGAGGACATGGTATCCAGAGAAACACTCTCACAGACACAGATGAGCTAACAAGCATCAGGCTCTGAAGAGTCAAACGACAGAACAAGCTGTAGTACCTCACTAGACAAGAGCACCATCGCACATTGACAGCGAGCAGCAGAGTGGGTGTTAGGGGGAGAAAGCATAGCAACCCTGGGAAGGTATCTGGGGAGCTGCTCATTTCCCTCACTCCGCATTTCTACCCCGGAAAGTTAGGATGGGCAGCAGTGGGGCTCAGGGAGACTCAGAGTCCATCACGTTCACACTGGGCTCAGTCCGCTCCACAGAAATGGAGGGCACCGGAGGTGGCACTGGGGAAACCCGCCAGCCCTAAGCTTACCTCAAGAGGCAAAAGGCCAAACAATGTTCAAGAAGAATGTAGGAGAACCAAAACTAATATTTCTAGACATACCAGCAACCAGCCTCCCTTCCCACCCCAGCCACAGGCTCAGCTGACCCCAGAAGGTGAGAGGCTGAAGAACAAGACAGTAGCCCGAATCTCAGAGGCCTGGACAAAGAGCTTCTGAGACAGGAAAAGACAAAGAAATGAAAACTCCAGGGGCAATGGTTTTGGCTGCCAAATCAGCAGAGGCCCTTCTTTAGCAGATGAAGCCATTAACATGAAACTAATGTAGAGTGTGCCCCTTTCACGACAGAGTGGGAAGGAAGCATTTCATACGCTGGGAAGCAGGAGTGGAGGCTCCACTGACCGTGAGGGCGGTTCCAGGCACTGCAGTGTTCTCTAGACAGCCCTTTCTTCCTCTTCATGTCCTCGCCCTCCAGTTCTGAGGAGCACTGAGGGTCGGCCACCACTGACAGGCAGGTTTCCCTCAGAAACCCAGACCCCTTGCCCATTAGTGATCCACGCCCAAACCCCGAGGCTGGGACTGCCTGACTGAGGCTCAGGATTCCCCAACGTCACTTCCAGGAAGAGTCCACACAAGCCAGGCGCAAAGGAACCTCTGTGGGAACACACAGCAACAGATGACACTGAGATGGGGACAAAAGCAGGCCACTGCCTCTGACTGCTAGGGGGAGACTGGTTTAGTTCTAAAATGAGAATTAATAACAAGCTGGGCATCCCCAACCCTTTTTTACCTTTTATCCTTCCTCAGTAGGAACTGTCGTGTCTTAATGCTGGTCTCTTCCTCCTCCTGGGCTCTTTGTCTTAGTAAATGGTCTGGACCAAAAACTGAAGATCTTGCCCCGACTCTCAATCCTTAAAAGTTGAAAAAGGTATCAGTTCTACTGGCCAAAGACTGCTCACAAGCAAACCCCTCGTTCTCCTTGAGCCCCTGGGACATGCCTGCAGACATCTAAGGTCCTTCCTCTGGGAAGTTTGTCGTGGGTCCTCGGGAGGGCTTAATGGTTACCTGTTTTAAGCACTTTGCGCACGAAGTTACTCAAATTCTGATGTAAGGACTATGGGTCTCTTGTGGAATTGGTGACCCTCAGCTCAGGTCCCCCCTTCAGCAGACAATCCTTCCCAAACTCAGAGGACAACTGAGTCCCTTTCACCCAAACCAGAGAATCATAAGCACGAGATCATCGTAGAGATGAGGAAATGTACTATGATCCGCCAACCCTTGTTCTTACTTCCTCCTGACAGCGCAGGCCTCAGCCACCTGTAAGCCCTCCCCTAAAATTCTCTGGGATCCCCGGAGGTCCCGCATGTGTTTCAGAACAGAAGTCATAACTGCTGAGCCAGGTCTCACCTGCCCCTCTCCAGCAAGCTTGGGCACCTGCCAGCCACAGCAGCCTGCTGGAAAGAGCGCGCTGGCATCTCCAGCTAGGGATGACGTGAAAGTGGAAAACACCCGGCCATCCTCAGTGGCCACTTTGATTCCCCCAGTTCCCTTGAAAGGGCTTCAACTTCTGCCTGCAGCTTCCTTCCAGCCCTCAGCCTGCCCACAGACCTAAGCTGAGGCACCGTGTCCTCTGTGTCTCCTTCTCTCTCTAGTCAGAGTAGACAAGCAACACAAGAGTTCTGTGTGTTTCTCTTGCCCCACGGGCAAATAAGTCAAGAGGCCTGAGAGCCCGTCGGCTATGAAGCACTAAACCAGCTGGATTCAGCTAGGGCCCTCTCAATAGATTCTTCTCGAGACAGAGGCTGGTGTTGGGAGGTTTCCTCAATTGCCTTCCATCTTATTCTTTGAGGCAGCGTCTCTCGGGTGACCAATACAGTCTGGTCTAGCTAGCCAGCTCACTCCATGGATTCCCTGTTCCCGCCTCCTGAGCACTTAGAATTGCAAGGAGACTGCCATGCCCTCCTGGCACCTATGCAGGTGCACGGAGCCCAACCCCTGTCCTCACCCAGCCAGCGTTTTACCTAATGAGTTATCTCCCCAGTCTAAAGGTAAGGTTTTCTTTAATTGTGCGTCTATGTTCCCATCTGCATGTGGATTTGTGCTCATGCGTACAGTTGCCCATGGAGACCAGAAGAGGGTGCCGGATCCCTTAGAGCACTGGCTGTTGTGAGCTGCCCAGTCTGGTTGGCAACAAAACTTGGGTCTTCTGCAAGAGCAGTGTGCCCTCTTAACCACTGAGCCATCTCTCCAGCACCAAAAAGGTGACATTTTTAATACATGTGGCTGGCTACATGTCTTGTATCAGTTTATAGACTGGCCAATGGAGAGAACCAGTCAGAACTCAGTGGTTAAACGAGTGGCCTTGTAACAGAGTTTGTTAAAGATAAGAGGGCAGAAGGGGGTGGGTGCTAAGGCTGTTAAGCCAGGCGTGTTGTCAAACACCAGTAATTCCAGCACACAGGAGGCTCAGGATAGGGAATTACAAGTTGGAGACCAGCCTGGGCCACAGAATGAGACCCTTCGGAGAGTACAAGAATCTGAATCTTGATGCAAGAAAAGTAATTTGGGTGGTGTGTAAACATGCAGTGTCTGGAGAAAGGGGATGTGGGTAAGTTTATGCAGAGGGCTGTAAGAATATTTGCATAAGGAAATCTGCATAAGGAAATCCAAACTCAAAACGGAAGGAAATGCAGTCTAGAAATTTACTAAGTGGTAAGGTAACAGTCATGGAAGCCCAAATCGAGACCATAATAAGACATCCTTGTAGATTTTCCATCAGGGAGCAGTCAGCAATTCTGACAATCTGATCATCGCACGCGATGACAAATGTGTTGAAGTGAAATGCCATTTCACTCATAAATATGCAACTGGGGGAGAGGGGTGTTTGGTCGTTTTGGTTTTGGTTTAAGATTCGTTATTTTATGTGTGAGTGCTCCATCTGCATGTACGCCTGTATACCAGAAGGGGGCATCAGATCCCACTAGAGACAGTTGTTAGTCACCATGTGCTTGCTGGGAATTGAACTCAGATTCTCTGAAAGAGCAGCCAGTGCTCTTAACCTCTGAGTCACTTCTCTAGCCCCAGTTGGATTGTTTTTTGAGACAAGACGTTACTTGGAGCCAAGACTGGCCTCAAACTCAATCCCCTTGCCTCGGCCACCTGTGTTCCAAAATGGCTGGCAGCAATGTCACCACACCCAGGAGAAATTTGTATAATTCCTGTGTGTCAATTAAAAATAAAATACATATTTAAATTTTTTATTGAGCCAAGCATTGGAGGAGGTATGGGTAAGTAGAATTTTTTTTTTAACTTGAAGACAGAGTTTCTCTGTGCTCCCTGGCTACCCTGGAACTCACTCTGCAGATCAGGCTGGCCTCAAACTCAGAGCTCTGCCTGCCTCCACCTCCAGAGTACTGGGATTAAAGGTGTTTGTCATCAACGCCAGGCTGGATCTTTTTCTTTTCAAATATTAATAGAGTGTGTGTGTGTGTGTGTGTGTGTGTGTGTGTGTGTGTGTGCCACAGCACACATTCAGAAATCAGAAGACACCTTGGCTGAGTCGGTTCTGCCTGGGGATTGAACCCAGGCCCCCAGGCTTGTGCAGCAAACACCTTTACCGTGATTTTTTTAAGATTAAAAGTTTCTTATTGTATTATTTACTTACTTCGTGTGTGTGTGTGTGTGTGTGTGTGTGTGTGTGTATGAACGCCATGGCACACAAAGGGAAGTCAAGGGACAACTTGCTGGAGTCAGTCTTCTTCCAAATAGGTCCCAGGACTCAGACTCAGGACATCAGGCCTGGCCACAGGGCTTTCAGTCACGGAGCCATCTCACTGCCACCCCCCAAACAGGATTCTTAATACTACAAGGGGCAGACTATAAAATGGCCCAATCGCTTGGGGAAGTAACTTGTTATCATCTTTTAAACTCAAATTCAATATCAAAATTTCAAGGGATTCTTTTTTACTTTTTCCCTTTTCTTTACTGTTTTTTTTTTTTTTTTTTGGTTTGAGTTTGTTTTATTTTGCCGGTGACCTTTTCCTTCCTCCCTTTCTTTCTTAGCTAACTGATTTGTTTGCAGTGCTGGAGATGAATCTAGGCGCTCTCAACATGCTAGGCAAATGGTCTACACTGAAGCACATCTACACCCCCTAAAGAGATTGTCAGTGTCCTTGACGACACGTGTGACATGGTCACAGCGGCACTGTTGGTGCCGTACAAACCCTAGGTACCGCGTGTGCATCAGTGGACATGAACATGGTGCCGTACAAACCCTAGATACCGCGTGTGCATCAGTGGACATGAACAGACCACAGCATGTGTCAGAACAGGCTGAACTGAGAAACAAAATATTTACTCAAGAGAGCTGGAGAGATGACTGAGCCTTAAGAGCACCTGCTGCTCTTGCAGAGAACCTGGGTTTGGTTCCCAACACCCACATGGCAGCTCAGAACTCCAGTTCCAGGAGATGCGATGCCCTGATCCTGCCTTTGTGGGAACTGCACGTATGTGGTGTACATATATGCATGGAGGCAAACCCTTGTATGCAATTTTAAAATAAACGAATCTCTTAAAAATAAAACATCTACTCAAAACAGTGAATCTCAGGCCTGAGGAGATGGCTCAGTCTGTAGCAAGTGTGAGGGCCTGAGTTCGAGTACCCAGAACTCACATAAAAAAGCCAGATGTGCACATCTGTAGTCGCCAGAATAAGAAACCCTGTCTCAAAAGACAAAGTAAATGGCTTCTGAGGAGCTACACTAAGGGTGACGTCTTGCCTTTATGCACATATCCACATAGACAGACAGACAGACACACACACACACACACACACACACACACACACACACCATCACCACCACCACCACCAATAAAATTTCAGAAAACATTATATAACTTCCTACTATAGATTCAAACTTGATGTCAATGAAAAATTATCCTATGCATTCATCAATACAAGTATGTGACAAAAATTTCTAAATAGAAAATAAAAATCAAGTTTAGGCCACTGTTCTGAGGGAAGGCAAAGGCATGAAGCTTGAGAAGGGTCAATTGTGGCTCGGGACAGTCGGCTTTGGTAGCAGAGCAAGCACCCGAGGTTTATTTCACTATGGATCAGTCCACGTAACCTGGACTGACAGCAGCAGATGCAGTCTAGCTTAGGCCTGAGGGAAGCAACCCTCTCGCTGTGCCAAGCACATATGCAGCTTGAGCTTGAGAGGCAGAGCCAGCGCATGGAGGCCAAGACTACAAAGCTGTTTGGCTGATGTGGGGAGTCTTTAAAAGTTCAGGCTGAGCCTGATGGTGACTGCAGCGCACGCCTGTAACCCCAGCACTCAGGAGGCAGAGGTAAGAGGGTTTCTGAGAGTTTGAGACCAGCCTGATCTAAAGTAAGTTTTGGGACTGCCAGGACTATATGGCACGGGGGGGGGGGGGGGGAGATAAGGGTTCAGGCTGGTACAGACGCACCATAGGGAAGGAAATCGAAACAAAGGGAACTGAGGAAGGCGGTAAGTGGGCAGAGAGGATGCAGCTGAGGCAGGGGTGACAGCCATCTGCAGGAGCAGAAGAAGCTGCGTTCCTAAGCTCAACCCCTGACTCAAAACATACCGGTTCCAAAGAAGAAACCTAGCTCCGCTCACCCTTTCTGAAGCTGTATCCTTCAAATGAGGGGAACGGCGGGAATAACCACCATGGGTAACCCACCGATGTGGTCATAGAGTCAGTGAGGGTCTTGAGGGAAAGAGCTAGAGAGTTAATGACATGATGTGGAAATTCTGGGTGGGGAGTCCCTCCAGGGCTATTCACTCAGGGGGGGGGGGGCAGCTATAAATGCCCTGAAAGGAACAAAATTAGTATTATTGGCAATATCAAAGTAGCCTCATCTTCAAAACTTTTGAGACAAGGTCTAGT